GGCCTCCTGGAGAAATCAGTTTCTCTGAGTTTGCAGGAGGAATTGTACTTTGTGTTAAGTGACATAAAGGCAGCCCCTGCTTTCTTAGCCCCCATTTTCAAGTTGAGGGCAATTAGGGTTGGCATATGAGAATTAAAAGAAATAAAAGCTAATTGTCCCGTGAGTTCTATTAGGTGTAACCCATTTAACTGACCTTTCTATATCTAGATACAGGAAACTGGTTAATAAATTTCCACTGGTTGGCCTAAGTGAGCCTGCAATAAAGTCATTCCAAAGAGCACCAGTGATAACTTATGGAATCTCATCCAAGAACAAAATCAAATTAAACTTTGTATAATAAAACATAAAAATAATGTTCTTCAGGCAAAACACAAACACAAAACCTATTGTTGTGGCAAAAATCTATAAAAATCATACCCATAGCAGGGACGTTCCCATTTACAGAGAACTCACTCCACTGCTCCAGATTCCTACAAGGCCAAATAAAGAAGTTATTTTCCTTTTTTCTTCAAAGTCTCCAAATAGCCACCTCTTTCTTCCATTTATCCTTAGCCAAGCCTTCTACAACAAGGTGGTATGAAAACAAAAAAATAGCAACTTGTAACTTAGCTATATTATAATTACAAACCCTCCATTATTCGTTTTGAACAGGCCAATCAATAAATGCGCGTGTGCAGACTCCCAGCCTCCCCCCACCCCTGCCTCCGTGCAGCCAGTGCTTCTTGGAGGAATCGCTGGTCATTTCTAGAGCAACCTGCCGGAGTGACAGGCTCTTGTTTACAGGTTATTCACATATTTTAAAATATTAGAAGGGAAATTTTGTTATTTTTATAAGTAAAATAGTTTCTAAAAAATTCTCCTCCTCTTGGGTCAAGTCACCCAAAATGAACCACGAGAAAATCCACCGCTACCACCTTCTTACCCTCACCCACCTGAGCGGAGCCCCAGGCAGTGGGAGCAATGGCCAGCTGACAGAAGGCAGAGGCAGACAGTAGCTCGCTCCTTTCCACTTGCAGGAGAGCATCTTAGCCGTGGGCAAAGTCATTAATACACTCACTCCTTATCATTTCCTTTCTTCCCCCTAGGTTTTCCTTATTTTTAGGTTAGTCAAAGGACAGGTAACTCCACTGACCATTATGGATTAAAGAACAGGCATTCCCATTTCCCGTTAAGGAATACATTTTTTTTTCTTGGAGCAAATATTTATACGGATATATTCTGATTTTAAACTCTCAATAATTCCTCTGATACTTGGTTTAGCCTCACCCCGCCCCCAAATATAGCATATATAAAGGCAGCAGGAGCTCCTCCATTCAGGCTTCAGAAAACCCGAAATGTCACTCCCAGCCCATCAGCAACAACAGCAACAAAACAGATCAACTACAAAATCCTAACGTGAACTCAGCAGAGGGCTGAGGTATGAAATCCAAAGGAAGACAGTCCCCTCAAGGAGACACGGGAGGTAAGCACTGGCTCGCCTGTGTCGGAGCTCGGGAGGAGGACAGGCCGGGTCCACAGGAGTGGGTGTAAAAAACCTGAAGTTAAAGGTTCAAGTGAAGGCTACCTTCACACCCTTCAGGCCACCAGGCAGACACTCCCAGGAAGACTGGGGGGAGGGGGGGGTCCAGAGATGACTTCCCTTGGTGGCACAGACCTGGAAACGCTGCCAGTACAGGAGGCGTAAGAAGCCCACCCTGCCCTGCCCTATGCCACCCCGCCCCGGGCTAGCAAAGCTAAAGCTGCGGGCCGGGGGAGAACTATGAAACACTGTCAGCTGCTGTCAGCCCCAGGGCCCCAGTGAAGGCCCACTGCAGCTGGGAGGGAGTAGTAAGAAATTTCTTACCCTGGGAGAGGAGCAAGAAGAAGCCCTAGCCCAGGATCCTACCCCTATCACGGTAAGAGGGACAATATTACTACTGAGAAAGACTCAAACCGTAAGATGCACGCACACAGGACAGAGTTTTAAATCAGGGCCAAAATTTAAAAGCTCCTGCCAATGATCAGGCTCTTCTGATGAGGGAGGGGCAAGCGCACAGAGGGGCACCCTTCTGAGGCACAGGCACAGAGGAGAGGCCGAAAGCTAAAAATGGAACAAGAATATTGAGAAAAACCTTCCACACCTCAGTCCCCACTCTAAGCAGAAGGAATAGAGGAACGTGAAGCCAGCTGTGCACTGAAAACAATCGTAGTAACAACAAAACCCAAACCTAGCTCAGCTCTGGCCTAAATTAACTCAACCCTTTATATTACCTAGTAAAGGAAGAGACGTGCCCACTTCCAGGCATGAATACTTTAACTCTCAGTCTCCACTGTTTCACACGTGAGGTCCAGTGCATTCACCCACAAATTAAGACACAAAGAAAAAGTGCCAGGGGAAAAAAACTGTTAAGGGACAAAATCAGACTAAGAGATGACCCAGATGTTCAAATTACCAGACAGAGATTTAAGATGATTATAATTAACATGTTAAAGCCTATAGTGGAAAAGACAGAATATGCATGAACAGATGGGAAATTTCAGCAGAAAGATGGAAACTATAAGAGTCAAACAGAAATGCTAGAAATTAAAAGTAAAAGATGTAACAACAATGTCATGTCACTGGGGGCTCATCATTAAACTCAGTGCACTCAGGAAAAAACCAAGGAACCTGAGGATAGGTCAAAAGAAAGTACCTAAAATGAAACACAAATCACAGAACACTGACCATGATAGGCCATATTCTGGACCATAAAACTGGGACAAACTGAAATAAACTGAAATTTCAAAGGATGTCTTCTGACCACAACAGAATTAAACTAAAAATCTATTACAGAAATACATCTGGAAAATCCTCAAATATTGAGAAATTAACATATGTCTAAATAACCCATGGATCAAAGAGAAATTCACAAGAGAAATTAGAAAATATTTTGAATTGAATGAAAATAAAAAACACTGCATATCAAAAACTATGTGACACACCTAAAATCATGATTACAGCCCTGGCCAGTGTGGCTCAGTTGGTTGGAGCATCGTCCCGTAACTGAAAGGTTGCAGGTTCGATTCCCAGTCAGGGCACATGCCTACGTTGCAGATTTCATCCCTGGTCCAGGCACATACAAGCCCTGGTCCGAGTGCATGTGGGAAGCACCCAATCAATGCTTTCCTCTCACATCAACGTTTCTCTTTCCCTTCCTCTCTCTCTAAAAGCAATGAAAAAATGCCCTTGGGAGAGGATTAAAACACACACACACACACACACAGATATAAAGCCATGATTACAGAAAAATTTGTAACATTAAACGCTTATTTTGGGTGGCTGCAGGGGTGGGGTGGGAAAAATGGTTAAGGTGTCAAAAGGTGCAAATTTCCACTTATGAAATAAGTAAGTCCAGGGGATGTAATGTACAACACAGTGACTACAGTTAATTATATTGTACTGTGTATTTGAAAGCTGCTCAGAGAAGAGATATTAAAAGTTCTCATCACAAGGAAAAAATATTTGTAACTGTGTGGTGATGAATGTTAAGGAGACTTGGTGTGGTGATCATTTCACAATATATACAAATATCAAATTATTAGGTTGTACACCTGAAACTAATACAGTGTTTTGTGTCAATTATATCTCAATTTTTTAAATGTTTTTTAGAAAAGTAATGTCTGAGTCAATGATCTAAAATTCCAGTTTAAAAAACTAGAAAAAGAACAAATCAATTCATAGTAAGCAAAAGAAATATAAAAATGAGCAGAAATTTAAAGCAGAAAAATAATAAAAATCTCTGAAAACAAAAGCTGGATCTTCGTGAAGATTAATAATTGATAAACCTCTAACCAGACTGACTCATCAAGAAAAAGAGGACACAAATTACCAATACAATTAATAAAAGAGGGCACAGGACAATGGATCCTACAGACATTAGAATATCATTACAATTTTATCTCCATATATTTGACAACTTAGGAAATGGATCAGTTCCTTCAAATATACAAACTACCAAAGCTCACTTGAGAAGAAATGAATAACCTGAACAGTTCTGTATCACCTATTAAAGAAATCGAATTCCCAGTTAAAAACCTTACAAAGAAATCCCCAGGCCCCGATGGCTTCATTGGGGAAGTCTATCAAACATCAAAGGAAAAAACATCCATTTTAAACAAACTACTCTAGAAAATTTTCCAATTCCTTTTATGCCAGCTTGACCTCAATTCTAAAACTGGACAAAAGCATCACTAGAAAACAACAGACCAATACCCCACATGAACACAGATGCTAAAATCCTCAAATATCAGCAAATCTCATCCAGCACATATAAAAGCAACACACCTCTTTTAAAGGATTTAATCATCTTTTAATCCTGACCTGGGATTACTCCCAAAGTCAAGTGGCATCTGAGTCCATTCTAAATTAAAGTCTTGATGTAAACACAGAATATTATGTCTCTCATCTTTCAAAGCTATTTTCAAAGAAAATGCACTGCAGACAGTTTAATTTAGGAAATTAAGAGGAAGATTATATAGAAGTTGAGACCCTAAAGATGAAACCTTAGAGTTAAAAGTGATCTACAACTTTATGAACATATACTCAACGAAAGGGTGTGAACCTATCTTGGTCTCAAAAAAAGAAACTTAGATAAAGAGCCCTGCCGGGCATGGCTCAGTGGATTGAGTGCTGGCCTGCGAACTGAATGGTTCGATTCCCAGTCAGAGCAATATCTGGGTCGTGGGTTGGACCCTCAGTTGGGGGAGTACAAGAGGCAACCAATCAATGTTACTCTCGTACATTGATGTTTCTCTCCCTCTCCTTCTCCCTCCCTTTCCCTCTCTCTAAAAAAGGAATAAAATCGAGAAAGGAAGGAAGGAAGGAAGGAAGGAAGGGGGGGGGGGAGAAATTAAGATAGAGTTACCAGCCTATACTCAAAAACTTAGTTCAGTTTCCTCAAGGTTTTCAAGATTATAGCCCAAAGTATAATCCCCAATCTACCTTTTGAATGTTGTATATCCAGTTTGGTTTAATTACTTACCTTCAATCTGGCTAGTATCTGGGCATGGTTTCTTCTTCGACTCCGAATGCCCGGTATTCTCATCAACATCCAGAAGAGGAATGTAGTCTGTTTTTCCAACAGTTTCTCCCACAACATCATCATAGGCCTCTGCCTCCAGTGTGGCTATAAAGTCCCGCTTAATCTCTCCCTCAATTTCTGGAGGTGGTTCTGTTAAAGCATCTGCAAGACTGAGGTCAGCCATTCTGCACCACTGCAACTGCCTGGTTAAGAGGAAAAATGTTTCATATGATGAGCACTACAAAGGGGAAAACATTCCCAGAAAACCTTGCCAGATTTTTAAACAAACAAAAAATTAAAATCCAAACATTTAGATCTAGAAGAGACACCCTCATTTTACAGATTAGGAAATTAAAGCACAGTAACAGACAGTCTCATCCAAGGTAAACACTTTCTTCTCAGCAGGTGCCATTTTGTCCTTTTCATTAGTAAGAAACATGAAGCATAAGGGAAAAATCAATTTATCCTAGATTACACCCAGTGAGACTCAAATTAGATCTTCTGATTTCAAGTCTTATAACCCTTTCAAATATTCTGTATATCTTCATTTCCAGATCATATTCCAGAATAATTCTTAAAAGAATAACAGAGATTAGGTTAGATTCCCATTAAAAAAAGGTTACACTACTATCAGGCAACTGAAGTCACCTTTCTTGACCAAAGACTGAGTATGGACCTCCTCCTGGGGTCCGGCTTCTTCATGATTCACTTGTGGATAGCTACGTCTACACCAAATTACACTTGGCCCTACTGGTATGAAAAGTACAGACATGTTCCCTGAATTAGCTAAGAGAAGTAGTTCCTCTCTGTGGTCATGTATATTACCATGTTTACAGAACACCAGGTTCTCAATTTTCAAACATAACCTGAAAGTAAGAAGTATAATCTATTATAGACAAAACTGTAGGTGAATAGCCAAGAAAATATAGAAATAATGTAGTAAAAAGAGCCAACGGGCCTGCAATACATTGAACCCCCAGTACATGCACAGCACAGTAGAAAATAAAAAAGTATGCAGGGTAGCATCTCTGCTTTCAAAGAGTCTATTTGAACAGAGACTACCAACAGACTCGTAAGAATAAGGGGGCATATGAGCTTGATCAGGTAAACGTACATCAAATAGCAATCTTTTGGTTGCTTTGCGTAATGGTGACTGCTTCTGTCTGCCCAGAAATGTGTTCTTTCTTATCTTCTCCCCCTATTTACACCAACGCCTGATAGGGTCAGATACATAGCTGGAGCCTGGCCAATCAGAGGACAGGAAGACAATGGCTGGAAAGGACCATTTCATGATTACATCCTGGAAGGAAGGCCCACAGGTGGCAGCTGTTCAGCTGCCCTAGCTGTCTTCTTTCTCAAGCCTAAGTGAGCGACCTTCCAGTCTTTCTTTTGCCTAATTTAATCAATCTATTTCTGTTGACTAAAGAATGTCAACAAATACACATAGTCTTTCCACAACCTAAATTTTTAAAAGGCAAAATTTACTATGATTCGAGACACTTAATGGTCAGGCTTGCCTTCCAAACTCTCTTCCACTGTCTACTCTCTCCAACAAATTTACTAAGGAAAAAGAAATACACACAGCAAGGAATACAGTCATTCTATCTTCATCTTTGTCCCCACTCTCCTCCCACTTTTTCTCTCCTGTGATACAAATATGAAAGGCATACCTTTTCAATCATTGTTTCTTCTTAGTTCCCAAGACCAAGCTGTGAGACTGCCACAATTATAAACTATGCACAAAGCAAATGCACCCAAGAACCTTGAAAAATCAGAAGCCAACCCATCCCCATTTCCCAAATCCAACAACTAAAAGGCTTTGCTCTGTGTTCCAATGTTGTAGACAGTAAAAGAGTGGTAGCATAGAGGCTCAAAGCAGCACAGACTGAGCTCAGTGCTACGCCCAAAACGAAGCAGAGAGGGGATAAACCCAGGAGCAAGACTTACTTCTAGGCAAGTGTCCAGAAAAAAAATAATAACATATGTCCAGCACAGGGAATGCTGTGGGGAGAGGGTGGGTCACATCTAGATATACTGCTCGTTGAAAACATTCACTATATATTCTTTTGGGGTTTTTTTTAGAGAGGGGAAGGTAGGGAGACAGAGAAGGAAAGACGTCTATGTAGGAGAGAAACATCAATCGGTTGCCCCTCGAACGCACTCCTACCAGGGACCAGGCCCTCAACCCACGCGTGTGCCCTGATCGGGAATCAAACCAGCAACCTTTTGCTCTGTGGGACGACACCCAACCAACTGAGCCACGCTGGCCAGGGCTCACTATTTAGTCTTTATATAATTGCAAGTTAAAATACCAAGATTTGGAAATGCTGAATTTGTAGACTTCTAAATAAAATCTTTTCAAAAAATTTAATGATAACTTTGAGCCTGCTTCCATGTGCCTATTTTTATATCAGGTTTCTTATTTGAAATACCTACCATAATTCCTGATCAAGATTTTTAAATGATGGTCTTTTCAAATACAAAAGGGCAGTAGAAAGAGCTTTTTCTCTGATTCCTTAAAATAGATGTGATATTAAAATTTCTCATGATTATGTTAATGAGACCCTAAATCATAATCTTTCTTAATATCTAGTATTTCAAAATAATGAAGCCTGCTTTGAGCATACACAGATGTTACACTACTAATTTTAATAAAATTTGATTTCTAAAGAAGGGCTAAATACACTAGTGACTCATTGACTTTTTCAAAGCTGAATTTCTGCTTTGAAGTCATAAACTTTGTCATCTACTCTAGGCCCAGTAATGTGATTAAGTTCATTTATGTCTTTAAAATGTCAATTAAGTAAACCCATTTTTTAAAGTTAATAATTGTTTTTCAATGAACATATAAAGAATCATTCCTATATGAACTTGGAATTCTCCTTTTAAATTGGCACACTAACAAAACGTTGCTGTGGACAGCCAATGCACTTCAGCTGCAAACAGCAGTGTTCTAATCCCGCTGTGTCACACGGAAAGCTGAAAGCAAACGGATGAGGGCGGCTTGGATTTCCCTGGTTTACCATTTTGATAACAATATTTAATGGCCAGAACAGATCCACAGTAGAGCTTTTATGAGACCTTCTCTTTAAATAAAACAAAAGATTACTTAAATTTCAGGCTTTTAAGCATGAACTCTTTAATGCTGAAGTCTTTGTATCTTCCTGTCATAGTAGCCGTGACCATTATTACACAAACTTAAGCAGTGTCTGTCATATCTCGTTTTGAATTATTCATTTATCACTTTAAATAGTTTATCCTCAGAATTTTATTTCGAAACTAAACACAGGTACCAAAGAGTATAGATTTATCGATTTGTAATCAAAATTTTGATTAACTATCATAAGACAGTTTGTTAACTGTATATACCGACAGCATTATTCAAAGTTGGACCTTTTCTATTGTCTTTGCTTCAGTAGTCTCAAAGTGTGAATTCCATGCCTGCTGAAAAAATAAGTAATTCCGTAACTGTGTGAGTATTTTGGTTTTAGTTATAATAGCATTTGTAACTAGTTTCTTGAACTTGAGGAAACACTGATATAACCAATACCATAAAGGAATGTGTCTCTTGTTTTGAAATTGCAGAGACTTAGAAAAGGAAAAACTGCTTACTTCAGTTGGGTCTTTTGCAGCGCACTTCATGGTTTATTTGTCACTGTTGTTTTATTTGAAATATTGTCCTATCAATAAGACATTTAGATAAGAAAATTCAAGATTATCAGGACATATGAAACCAAATATGAGAAATATATTTTATACTCTTTCAATAAAAACTTACACATTTTGCCCTGGCTGGTGTGGCTCAGTGGATTGAGCACCAGCCTGCAAACCAGACTTGTAGTTCGATTCCCATTCAGGGCACATGCCTAGGTTGCAGGCCAGGTCCCCAGGGGGCGGGGGGAGGAGCGGCGGTGCATGAAAGGCAACCACACATTGATGTTTCTCTCCCTCTCTTTCTCCTTCCCTTCACCTCTCTCTAAAAATAAATAAATAAAATTTAAAAATTTTAAAAATAAAATAGAACTTTCCCCTTCTTGATTAAAAAAAACCAAAACTTACACATTTTAAAAAGATATAAAAATAAGCTAATACTGGAGATAAAACAGGATCATAAAAAAATATTCAATTAATCCAAAAGCATACAGAAAAGGACACTAGAATAAAGAATATATTGAGCAAATAGCAACTACCAAGACAACAGATTTAAATCCAACCACTTCAAAAATCACATTAAACATAAACAGTCTAAAATCCAACAGTTAAAAGGCAGGTCTTCAAATTGGATTACAAAAAAAAAAAAAAAAGCAAGACCTACCTATATGAAGAAATCCACTTTTATTAAATATAAAAAAAGAAACGGCCCTGGCTAGTGTGGCTCAATGGATTGAGCGCCGGCCTGTGAACCAGAACCAAAGGGTTACTGGTTCAATTCCCAGTCAGGGCACATGCCCAGGCTCCAGGCCAGGTCCCCAGTTGAGGGCATGCCAAAGGCAACGAATTGATGTGTGATGTTTCTCTTCCTCTCTTTCTCCCTCCATTCCCCTCTAAAACTAAATATACAAAAATCTTAAAAAAAAAAAAAAAAGAAGAGGAAGAAGAAGATGTAATAATCTAAATATAGTGCATGTGACAACAGAGCTTTAAAAAATACACGCAACGAAACTGGTAGAACTAAAAGGGGAAAAGAAATCCACAGATATACAGAGTTCAACCTCCTCTCTCAGGAATCATTAAAATAAACATCTTTCCTTAGTGAGGGGGACAAAAGTGTCACCACCTCAAGATAATGCCCTTTGGAATATTGACTTTAAGCTGGTTATTAAGAAACAAAAGATTCAGAAAGAACCTTTGATCCTCTCCCCTTACCTGCCTAAATGAATTTGGGTAGAAAAAGCTGCTTAAAGTAAGGGATAACCACCTTAGCATCATAACATACACTAAATGTGGCAGAAGAAGAGAAATCTAGCAAAGCCGGCTTCTTGGACCTCCCTGTGTGTCTCACTGTTTCTCGGTAGCCCAGCAAAAGCGTTTTAACACACTTGTTCTTTCTCATCTGCCTGGGAGCTGCCTACTTCTCCTTCAATTCCCAGACCCCTGCCCCCTTCTCCTTTGTCCAAAAGATCTTAATGCCAAATGCGTCTTCGGGTCTCATACTCCTTATGGTATCCCTGCATGTACATCCGTGTTAAACTTTGGACGTTTT